AAACACATTATATGCAAATTTAAGTGTCTATATTTTAACACTGTGCCATTAAAAAAAATATCAAAATTTAAAATAAAAATGAATTTAAACTTAAATTTTTTAATCAAATTGAACTTGTTTATAAAAACTAATTGATTCAAAAAATCAAGGATGCAGTTTACAATAATCATGCCAAATTTTATCGATATTGGTCAAAAAATACGGATCTGAGAAATAAAAACATGCATTTTTAGACCAGTCATACATGTATAAGGACTTGAAGTGGTGCTGTCACCGGGAGTGGTGCAGTCGTCCGGGGTGGTGCCGTCATCGGTAGTAGTGCTGTCATCGGTAGTGGTGCAGTCGTTGGGAGTGGTGCAGTTGTCGGGAGTGGTGTGCTTGTTTGGAATGGTGCAGTTGTCGGGAGTGGTGCTGTCATCAGTAGTGGTGCTGTCATCAGAAGTGGTACTGTCATCGGGAGTGGTGCAGTCGTTGGGAAAGTGATTTTTTATAGTAAATTTTCCTTAAACTGTAAGCAATTTGGAACTTGTTGGTAAAAACCGCATCATTTTAAGACATATGAAACAGAAGTTATGATGAATTTAAACAAGAGGCCCAATGGGCCTGAATCGCTCACCTGGTATTAATCTCATACTTGTAATCTTAAACGTGGACTAAAGAACCTATCAAAAGATTTAAACATATGACGCCTGTGACCTTGAATGTCGAACAAGGACATTAGGTTAAACAGATTTTATAGTCTTCCAACCCAGCATGCTTTTGCCAAAATATCATTACCCTGGACCTTTTGGTTATACAGAACAAGTCATTTAAAGATTTAAACATATATTGACCACTGTGACCTTGAATATGGGCGAAGGTCATTCATTTTAATAAACTTGGTAGCCCTTCATCCGAGCCTGTTAATGGCCAAATATCATCACCCTTGGCCTTTTGCTAACTGAGAAGTCGTTTAAAGGTTTTTAAACATATTTGAACTATGACCTTGAATATATGTAAAGGTCATTCATTTGAACAACATTGATAGCCCTTTATCCCAGCATGATACTGGCCAAATATCATTATCCCAGGCCTCTTGGTTATTCAGAAGAAGGTGTTTAAAGGTTTTAAACATATTTGACCCCTGTGACCTTGATAATAAGTAAAGGTCATTCATTTGAACAAACCTAGTTGCCCTTTATCCCAGAATGATACTGGCCAAATATCATTATCAAATGCCTCTTAGTTATTTAGAAGAAGTTGTATAATGGTTCAAACATATTTGACCCATGTGACCTTGAATATCGGTCAAGGTCATTCATTTGAACAAACTTGGTAGCCCTTTATCATATCATGCTACTGGCCAAATAACACTATCCTAGGCCTTTTGGTTATTGAGAAGAAGTTGTTTAAAGGTTGTTAACATATTTGACCCCTGTGACCTTTAATATAGGTAAAGGTCATTCATTTGAACAAACTTTGTAGCCCTTCATCCCAGCATATTACTTGCCAAATATCATTATCCTAGGCCTCTTAGTTATTCAGAAGAAGTTGTTTAAATGTTTTTAACATATTTGACCCCTATGACCTTGAATATTTGTCAAGGTCATTTATTTGAACAAACTTGGTAGCCCTTCATCCAAGCATGCTGCTTGCCAAATATCATCATCCTAGGCCTCTTGATTATTCAGAAAAAGTTGTTTAAAAGGTTCTAAACATATTTGACCCCTGTGACCTTGAATATTTGTCAAAGTCATTCGTTTGAAAAAACTCGGTAGCCCTTCATCACAGCATGCTACTGGCCAAATAACATTATCCTAGGACTTGTGGTTATTGAGAAGTTGTTTAAATGTTTTAAACATATTTCATCATTGTGACCTTGAATATATGTCAAGGACATTCATTTGAACAAACTTGGTAGACCTTCCCCCCAGCATGCTACTTGCCAAATATCATTATCCTATGCCTCTTAGTTATTCAGAAGAAGTTGTTTAAATGTTTTTAACATATTTGAACCCTGTAACCTTGAAAATGGGTGATGGTCATTAATTTTAGCAAACGTTGTAGCCCTTCATCCCAGCATGTTACTTGCCAAATATCATCATCCTAGGCCTCTTGGTTATTCAGAAGTTTTTTCGAGGTTTATAACATATTTGACCACTGTGACCTTGAATAAGGGTGAAGGTCCTTCATTTGAACAAACTTGGTAGCCCTTCATCCCAGAATGTTACTTGCCAAATATCATTATCCTATGCCTCTTAGTTATTCAGAAGAAGTTGTAGAAATATTTTTTAAGACAATTGACCCCTGTGACCTTGAAGATTTGTCAAAGTGATGCGTTTGAAAAAACTCGGTAGCCCTTCATAACAGCATGCTACTGGCCGAATAACATTATCCTAGGCCTTGTGGTTATTGAGAAGTGGTTTAAATGTTTTAAACATATTTCATCATTGTGCCCTTGAATATATGTCAAGGACATTCATTTGAACAAACTTTGAAGCCCTTCATCTCAGCATGCTACAAGCCCAATATCATCTCCCTGGGCAGTTTGGTTATCGAGAAGAAGATGTTTAAAGTTTTTAACATAGTTGACCCCTGTGACCTTGAAAATGGGTGAAGGTCATTAATTTTAGCAAACTTTGTAGCCCTTCATCCCATTTTGCTTCTGGCCAAATATAGACAACCTAGGCCTTTCAGTTATTAAGAAGAAGTCGTTTAAAGTAAAATATTGACGCCGGACGGCGGACGGACGGACAGACGAAGGACGGAATGACGCCGCGCCACGGCATAAGCTCACTTGGCACTTTGTGCCAGGTGAACTAAAAACCCTATCATACTGTGATTTTGTGCTGAGTTTGACAGACATTTTCTACATATATATTTCCAGCTACAAGGGACAGGGAGAATATCATATCTTCTGAAAACAAGAGGCGGGCCTGCATCGCTCACCTGGTATTAATCTCACACTTGTAATCCTAAAAGTGGACTAAAATACAGCTACAGCCAGAATATCAGT